AAGTGCTTTTTGTGTAATAGAAAAAGTAAAAAGTAGATTCTACACGAAAACCGAGATAGTAAAAGTTGGTAGTGTTTGGTAAAATAAATGCTTTTTTCTTAAAAAAAAGCCAAAAGCACTTATAAATAGAGTTTGCAAACAGAGCCTTATTATTTTGTCATTCCCAGAGTTGGCTCCAGGGGGGGGTTAGCCCAGGGAGATGCCTACGGCCTCAAGTTTGCAGGGTACTAGTATTTACAATGTTTGTAGTATTCCCTCGTCCCATTTTACCTGTCTTATTTTCTTTTTTGGATTATCCCAAAATAAGCGTCTCTTTTTCTCTTTTGAAAAGAAATATGTGGCTTATATCATTTCACTTTATTATACTCAAACCTCAACCATAACTTTTATTTTTTCAACCACTTCATTAATAATCATGTCAAGTTAAAGTGAGATATTATTTTTTATTCTTAAAAGTGTTGAATCGGCATATTGTACGCTTTCGTGACTCGTTAGCAGTGTTCTAAAAGGCGCAAGGCGTGTCAAGGCGTCACAGCCAAGCCTTAAGCCTTCGAAGCCTAGGCGGGTTTATGCGTAGCCTAGGCGTGAAAAGGCGTTTTGAGTTTTTACTCATTATTTGATTTTTATAGAGCTATTAGTTAGTATATAAACTTGAATTTGGAGGAAATCAAGTAAAAAAATCTATTTTATAACAAAAATATACTCCTGGAGTTTTAAAAATCACAAATAATAATTGTAACTATGCTTGCTACAAAAAGTAGAACTAGATAAGTAATGAGATGATGAAACAACAAGCACAACAAGCACAACAACAATAATTTTTTATTTTAATGACCATAATCATGTTCATATTATGCAACTAGAGTAATTATTGAAGTGCACTCATAGTCACATCAGTTACACTTTTTGTCCTTTTTTTATGTTAGTAATATTTTAAGAAGATTATGATAATGATAGAAGTAATAATAAGAATAAAAAAGTTGTAGAAATATAATAATATACTCCGTAATACAATTGTAGTAAAATTAATATTAGCATATTGTAATGTAATGTTGTAGTACTATTTATTTCAAGAGTACCGTGGTAAGATGGGATTGCACCAAGTCCAAATCCTAACAAATATGGTGTTCCGTATGACCATATGTAAGTTTTTGTTCTTCCCTTTTAAATCATTTTTTTCCCACACCGGTTTACAAAGGCTGCTTCATCCTTCAGACTGCCTTATAAATAACCCCCTCATCCCATTTAATTGACTGAAGTGGGCAACGTGTAGAATGGATGGTTAAATTCCCATCGATTAGCTTTCGTCGGCCTTGCCAGCTGTTGTTACAGACACGGGCCGTATTTGAAAGTATTTGGGCCGCGTTTCATCACGCATTTGTGGTAAGCGAGGCGTTTGGTCGACGCCTAGAGCCTAGGCCCGCCTAGGCGAGGCCTTCTAAAGCCTTTTAGAACACTGCTCGTTAGTCGTAATAAGAAGTGAGCATAGCGAGCTGAGGTGGTAATTTACTCCATTAACCTAGCGTTGGCGGCTTGCGATATACAAGTACGAACTACGAAGTATGAAAGTATTACAGAGCACTTTATTTTATTCTACTGTAATTATGAACCGCACCAAAGTTTAGATTTGTAGTTACTTTAATAAAATTTCCATTATTATTGATTTATGATAGCCCCCAATTTTATACTTACACTAATTAATTTTGTTGCTCTACAATCAAAGTGCTTTTAATTTTTATTGTTTGTTTAACGTTTGTAACAATGTGTTATAAGATGCACAAAATCATCTCTAGTTTTTGAGAATAGTATTCAGATATTCAGCTTGTAATATGTAAGTAAGTACTCCCTCCGTCACTTGAAATTATTCCCGATTGACTTGGATCGGTGTTTAAAAAGTGAAAATAAAGTAAAAACATGTGATTGTAGTATAGAATGTTAGCCGCACAAAACTTTTCAAAAAGTGAAATGAAAAAAAATTGAGACATCTCAATAAGAAAAGTGAGAAGAATTTTGAGGGAAGAAAAGAGTATTTACTTAATTTGATGGAGCATACAACAATCATAAATTTTCATTTGTGATTTTTTTAATTTCAGTTTTTGTAAAAAATATGTAGCTCTTGTGATGACTCCATACTTCTCGATACATAAGTACATAACTACATGAGTAGTTAAGTGTTTTTCTATCTAGGGCAAATCCAATTTAAGCGAAGTCAGACTAGACATACTATACACGTCTTGTCATGATCTCACAATGATACAAACACTCAAAATCAATTAGAGTCACACTAAATCAAACGGTATCATATTTGAATAATCATATTTCACTGGGAAAATTGTCAAATAGGTCCTCGAACTTTCATAAAAAAGTCAATTAAGTCCTTCTATAGGAGACTCTGTCCGGTCGTCGCGATTTGGGGCGGTTCACGGTGGAATTTTTTGATGAAATTTTTTTAGCATCTTATTCATCAAGTCTAGTTTACTCATACCAAATTTCAGCTAAAAATTTAATCGGGAGCGCATTCAAATTAATTCGAGAACGCAAAAATGCGCAGTTATTTTCAAGAATTAATTTGAATGTGTTCCTGATTGAATTTTTAGCTAAAATTTGGTATGCGTAAACTAGACTTGGTGAATACGATGCTAAAAAAAATTCATCAAAAAATTCCACCGGGAACTTCCCCAAATCGCGACGGTCGGACAGAACCTCCTATAGAAGGACTTAATTGAACTTTTTATGAAAGTTCGAGGACTTATTTGACAGTTTTCCCTATTTCACTAAACTTAATACGGAGTAAAAGAGATCATATCTGGTGCGGTTTTTGGACTAGACTTAAAAAACTCTGTCCAAATGAACTGGTCATTTTGTTGGCCTGGTCGGATTTTATCTGGTGCGGTTAAGTCAAATTTGATTTGATTTTAGTATAATATGGTATATTTAAAACTGGCTCATTATACTTTGTTTTGGTTTGATTTGACGGATTGAAACAAATGCAAATCAATAGAGCTTATGACTTAAGTCAATGATAATAAAGCTTGACCAAGGATTTTGATTCGTATATTTTTGTGATAGTTATAAATTTTATACTCTTATGAAAGTACTTTTCATAAGAACATATTCATATTATTTTTATATCATAAATAGTTTCTCTTGAAAATACGGAATATATAATTGTACAAAGTTTATATTTATTGACCAAATAATTCAAAGAAAGACAAAGAGCCCGTTTGGTAGCACCAAAACCGGCTGTTTTGGCTGATTATGCTGAAATTTATGATATTCTGGCTGGAGTGGCTGTTTTGGCTGATTCTGCTGATTTAAGAAAAAAATATTTTAAAAATATATTTTATTAATAAATTAAAGAAAAAATTATATGTAAAAATAGCTAAAATGGTCCTCTACAGTAACTTCAGTCAATACAGCCAGAAAAGTAACTCCAACCTTACTTTTTCGGCTTATAACACAATTCAGCGCGCGAAAGTAAAAGTTACGTGTTTGGTGAAAAAGCTGGCTGATAAGCCGAAAACAGAGTTCTCCAAACGGGCTCAAAGTTTTAAGGAAAGAAAGAGTATTAAAAGGGCATGAAAGTAACTTTAGATGAGATTAGGGTGTTAATCGAGCAAGTGAAACTCGAATTCCGCGGCTTAAACAGTGTGGTACTTGATAATGAAAAATCGACCGGTGGGCGTAGCTCAACTGGTAGCGAGAGAGTGCCACAAGGGTTAGGTCTCGGGTTCCAATGCCGGCAACTGCGATGAGGGGTTACTATGCTGAAAAATGCATAGGGCTTCTGCAAGTACCGGGGACAGAGCCCCACTCTCTATCTGTCAGATTGTGATTATAGTCCAATTTACATCCTCCCATCGTGCCGTCCGGTCGGTGTTGGGGGCCCTCAGGGATGGAGTGTCATCCTTTTTTTTTATAATGAAAAATCGAGTTCCCGTCCAGTTTCATCTGAGAATGTCTAAAGCCCATAACACTATTAGAACATTCCCTTAAACTTTGGCCCCTGCAATGTAAAATTTTTAAAGACCGGCCCCTTCAACCATAGATTTCTGGCTCCGCCACTGGCAACGAGTGAGTCTTTGATATACGATAGTATATGTTTAATACAGTTTATATTTTTATAGAAATTACTTAGATCCCCGTTTGGTAACGAAATCGGTTGCTGATATTTATGATATTCTGGCTGAAGTGTCTGTATAGGCTAGTTCTGCTGATTTATGAAAATATTATATATAAATATATTTTATTAATAAAATAAAGAAAAAATTATATTAAAAAATAAATAAAATGATCCTCTACAGTAATTTCAACCAATATAGCCAGAAAAGTAACTCAAACCACACATTTTCTTATTATTACACAATCCGGCACACGAAATCAAAAGTTACTTGTTTGGTGAAAAAGTTGATTGATAAGACTGATAAGTCGAAAAAGAGGCTCACCAAACGGGCTCTTAATATAAAACAAATTTATACAATGAATAAATTTGATTAAAACTTCTCAAAATAAGAGTCAATGAATCATATTTCGAGAATAATATAATGATAGTCCTGTTTCTGAAATGTATATTTTTGTATCCCTATAACCCTATTTACCTAAAAAAAAATTATTTGGAGTTGATTCCGCTTCTGATTCTTTTTTAAAAACAAAAGCAAGATTAGAATCAGTTTTTCAGAAATTAGTCTTCACCAATTTCTAAAGGGGAAATTTTCGATATAGGAGTATAAAAGTTTCGACATTCCAAAATAGGAATGCCATATTATTATTCCCTAAATAAAAGTAATTACTGTCAAATTTGAAAAATATTGTCATTTTATAGTCTTGTACTGTCAAAACATGACAATAACTACTCATATTTTGGGAGTAAAAACATAATAGTCTTATTTAGAGATACACAAACATTTCTAGTTATATTTAAGAAAATTTCCCGTTTCTAAAATATTATATCTAGAAACAATTTGGAGTACCCAAAGAACTTATGTAATTTCGTTCAAACATTTCAATATCTTGAAAGTAAGTATAAACAATTTTAAGAAGAAAAATCCAAAACACCCTCAATTTGACAGAAACCTATCTAGATTCGAATAAGAAACCTGAAACCAGACTATATGAGCGGTAAAACACAACTTGCAAATGGAGTTGCTTGAATAGGACTCCCTATAGAATACTTGGTATTTATAAATGCTTTCACGAAATGTGACATTAGTTCAATAGGTGGATGCACGGTTGCCGGTGGGTAAGCGGGGCATCGGAATGGTCAAGAATAAGGCGAAAAGTACAGCAGAAAGAACTGTAGAGAAAGCGACACGCACGCAATTGCACAAAATGGCCTCTGTAGTCTAGTCTTCCATCTTAGCTTGCCACCTCCAAGAACTCTCAAAGACTCCATCTTTCAATCACATTCTCAGATTCACCCTCTGCTTACGCAAAAGTAACACTATTGTAGTATTAATCAGCCAAGTCTTCCCAAGATTTTAGCAGACCAAAAACAGTCTTTCTCCCTGAAATCCTGAAAACGTACCCATCACGCTCTCCCCCCATCTCTCTAACACTCTGCAAAACCCATTCGCCATTTTCAGCCAAATCAAGAGAGTGAAGAAATCCCACACCACATGCATTCATGAGCTGGGTATGGGGTGTTTGATTTCTCAGCTGGCGGCGAAGTTGGCTTTCTTTCCGCCTTCGCCGGCCACATATCGTGTGAAGAAGCGCGACGGAGACGGCCGCTGGGAAGCTGTCCCGAACTCCGCCGCCGCCGCCGCTTTGACGGCGTCCGTTGCGGAGGATGCTTGTCTGGATGTGCATGTGCTAGAGACCAAGAGGGGAAACAAGATCGTAGCTTTTTACCTAAAGAGCCCGTATGCTAGGCTCACGCTGCTGTATTCTCACGGAAATGCAGCTGATCTTGGTCAACTTTATGACTTGTTTCTTCAGCTCAAAGCTAATCTCCGGGTCAATATCATGGGGTCTGTGTTTAAAGCCCTCCTTCTGATTGGTATTAGAGCCTTAGTATTATTATTGTCTTCTTGTTGTTCTTGTAATTTTAGCATGAATAGAAAAATATGTTTTTTGTAATTAAAAATAATACTGAGTAATAATTAAGCTCATTGTATGGGTAAAAGATGTTTCAATAAGTTTTATTCATAGAAGGTACTCGGGTAGGGCAGATCTCAGGCCTCAACTTTTTTATTAGAAAAATAAACCTATTTTGGACATGTCCCTTTTCCTTCATTTATTTGGAAGAAAGGTAGTTTTTTGTCTTTCTTCTTTATACCCATTTCTCTTGTTAACATTTTAAAAGATGGCCCTTCTTGTGGTGGCTGGATTTCATAGTGGGTGCCTGGGTGGGACTTGGGAGAGGGGGACATAGGAGGAATGGGCCCCCTTCCTCCCTCAAAGATATGTGTCTTTGTATGATTCTGTACTTTGCAATTTATGCAAATAGCAATAGATAATGCTCATCCATTTGGGGAAACTTTGTTTTTTCTTTCTTTTATGAATTATACAGTATATATTCAATTCAATTTATTTACAAATATAATCATGACAAGAGGTTGAGATAATCACAAGTATGAGGATGTCTGGTTCTACTTCAGCATAATATCATGTACTTTAGATGTGACATATAATGTTTCTATTCTATTTATGTTTTTCAATTCCCTGCAGATATGATTATTCTGGGTATGGAGCCTCTACTGGGAAGGTAGGCCACTTATGTTCTGTCTGATGCATTTCAGTCACGTTCTCTTTATTAAGATTCAAGATCTCCTTTGATGATTTGTTAATGTTTTTAGTTAAATGTTTAAATATGGATCAGCCAAGTGAATATGATACATATGCTGATATAGAGGCAGTATATGAGTGCCTTCAAGATGAGTATGGAGTTAGTCAGGAAGATGTGATCCTATATGGACAGTCTGTTGGCAGTGGGCCTACGTTACACTTAGCGGCTAAGTTGCCGAGGCTGAGAGGGGTGGTTTTACACAGTGGCATTCTTTCCGGCCTCCGAGTGGTTTGTCATGTGAAGTTCACCTTTTGTTTTGACATTTACAAGGTAAGTAAATGTATAGGACTATTGAGAATTGAGATGAAAGCACTAGATTGTGTTATTAGTCTTTCTTTTCAAGGTTTTCTTGGTCAATAAATGTTACTACTATTAGTCTATAGAGCTTTGAATTGATCAAGATCAGTGGGAAAAAGTTAATCTTTAGATGAAACGGTTGCTTGATTTACGTAAAAAGGGAAATCTTTTTTGGATTTTTTGCAGTTCTTTGAAAAAAAACCTCATGTTTTGAAAGATCAGCCTATTTTCCTGAAAGAGGCCCTTTTTATAGTTTTTCTGCAGGTTAAACAATATATCATTTCTAGACCACCATTTTCTGCAAAAACTTACTTTCCATGGGTTGAACTAAGTTAAATAATTAACAGGTTGAATTCAACATTTTAGTGTAGTTTGACCCAAATGCCTTATGACCCTAACTCAATCTTGAAATATGTCATAAAAGCTGAACTTTGGGGGGGTACTGGATATGATATTGCTCCGTGGTTGTTTGTTTTGTTGTTGAAACTAAAAACTAACTAAAAACATCTGCATATTTTACCTTGCTCTGAAGTATGCAATTGATTTCATGCCACATACCATAAAAGAACAGTAATGGTATTTATTGTGCTTGATTGAAATAGAAAAGGTGTGATTAATAAGCTCATGTTCAAAGAAGTTTTAAGGTTCATTTCCCATGCTTTAATGTGTTATTATTGAACATGCAACCAAAAATTAAGAGAAGAAAACATGGCAGGAAAGTTTGAATGATATGACAAGTTTGCTTTTTTACTTGTTCTGAATAGCTCTGACTAATAGTGAATTTGAACGTGCAGAATGTGAACAAGATGCGCAAGGTAAAATCTCCCGTGCTGGTAATACATGTAAGTTCTCAAATCTTAACAGTCCCAAGTCGAGCTTCAAACATTGTACTCCCTCCGTAACTTTAGAATCTTCCCATTTCAAAAGTAGGTAGATTAAGAATAGTGAAAGATGATATGAATTATTGAGGGTATGATGGGAAAATAGTGGAATAATGTGGTGGAATGTAGGATAAATCCAAAAAAAGTAGTTGTAATAGTGTATTATTTTAAGAATTATTGAGGGTATGATGGGAAGATTTAAAAATGGGAGAATTTTTGTGTTACGGACGAAAAAGGAAAGTGTGAAGATTTTTAAGTTACGGAGGGAGTAATAAATTACTAGTACATTAGGTGATTAGGATGCAGTCTTTTAGAAGTTTAGTGGTCCATGCTTTTCCTTCCATTAAATTATTGTGATGTTACTTTCAAAGGAAGTTTTGTCCAGTATCCTGTCATCAATTAAATTAATGGGAATGTAATTCTTAGGAAGTCATTTCTTATGTGAAGGTTACTCTAAGAGAAAGTTAAATGTTAGGGGAAGTTAAATTCCCTGGAATGTAATTCCTGTGAAAACTTTCAAAGTAAAGAATTCCTGAAACTTCAACCAAGTGCATATGTTCAGGTCCACTAAATACCCCTATTAATTTCTATACACAGAATTTTTTTAAAGTTGAGCATGGCAAGATTACACACCGAGGAAGTTAATTCGTAGGGAAAGTTAGATTCCTAGGAAGATAATTCTCGTGGAAGCTTAGGATGTTTTTACTTGGACTGTTTTCAGTCCCAGATCAGACTTGGATAGTTATAAAATACACAGAGACCAGACATTTACCAGACCGGATCAGACCAGACCATCAAATTTTAGTCTAAGCAAAAACATCCTAACCTTCCTACGGAAACATTAGTCTAGTGCATATGTTGAATGTTGGTGTAAGAGTTTCGGCAGAAAAATGAATCTCTAGCCCAAACTCAAAGGAATGACCAAGTAGTATTAGGATATGATACCCTTCATTACTAGTAGAAGGATCGGTATGTTATGATATAAGTAGTGTTTGGCAGGGAACAGCAGATGAAGTTGTGAACTGGTTACACGGGGACAGACTATGGAAAATGGCGAGGGAACCATACAAGCCATTGTGGATTAAAGGAGGCGGCCATTGCAACTTAGAGCTCTACCCAGATTACATCCGCCACCTTCGCCACTTCATTCAAGAAATGGAGAATTTGACCACTGAAGTCCGACTTAAAAAGATCCGTCAAAATCTCTCTAATCTAAACAGGTCTTCTAAGACCACTACTGCTTTGAGGTCAAACACTTTCTGTTGTCTAGTAAAATTGGGCAGCAGAAAATGCCCAAAGTTTGCTTGCAGCGTCAAACCAGTCACCACAAGATGTTCGTGTTGGTGAACTGGTGATAGATAAGGTAGATATGGCGGGGAGGGGGTATATTCTTTCAATCTCCATAGTAATAGTAGTTCATGTAATAAACTAATTTGTTTATTTGTTTTCTTTTTTTAATCCTCTAAGTTTATTCTCTCTTTTGGGTGAAGTTGCTCAGAGCTTAATATAATTCCCTGATATTATAGCAAGCTAATCAATTGAAGTAGTTTCAAGTTTCAACTATATCCAAGATTACCAAACATGCTAAAAACTCTACTTTATTTTCCGATTATTGTTTAAAATGATTTTGAAAATTGAAGAGGTCTAAATAAATTTTACTAACTAATAGTCTAATACACAGTTTTGAAGAATGTTCAAATAAAAGCTACAGAAGTTTTTTTAATCTACACGCAAAATATAGTTGCAAATGTAAGTGGTAAGCAATTAATCTACACTGAACTACTGAAGGACTATTTGTAAGAATTTGGCAAGTGGTAATTCATTGCACTGTAAGGGAGTGTGTTTGTGACTGCTTCTATTTTAAAAAAGTGATTTATAAAGTGATTTTGGAAAAAGTACTTAGTACTAAAAGTTGATAGTGTTTGAGAAAAAAATGATTCCGAAAAAAGTAGAAGTTGATAGTGGGTTTGGCAAAATAAGTGCTTTTTGTGTAATAGACAAAGTGAAAAGCAGTTTAAAGCACCCTTCCACCTGCTTCCAGCTTTTAGCTTTTAAGTAATTAATTTAAGCAGAAACTGTCATTTGAAAACACTCTTTTCACTTTTCAGCTTTTTTAAGCCAAGAGCTGAAAAAACGTTTTTTTTAAAGCGCAAACACTCTTTAACTCTGTAAGTAGAGTATGTCATTTTGATGACTAAACGGCTTCTAGGTTTTAGCTAGGGATGGACTCGGGCCGGGCCAACCGGCCCGGAACCGGACTGGCCCGCTACTGTGCGGGCCCGGCCCGGTGAACCGGTTCGTGCCCGGTTCGGGCCTCCCGGCCCGATGGTAAAGCGGTCCAGGCCCGGGCCTCCAGTTTAGTGAACCGGCCCGGCCGGGCCCGGTTCGGGCCGGAATTTATTTTTTTTTTTTGGAAATTTTTTTAAGTTTTGGGTTGGATTAGGTATTTTGGGCCATTTGAGGTGGTTTGGGGTGGTTTGGGGTGGAGAGGGAGGGGTAGGGGGTTAAATAAGAGAAGAAGAAAAAAAAAATTAAAAATCCGGGTGGCCCGGCCCGGTCTGGCCCGGAACCGGACCCGGAACCGCCCACCACCGGTTCGGGCTCGGGCCTCATTTTTCTGAACCGAGGCCCGGCCGGGCCCAGGCCCGAACCGGAACCGGTCCACCCCTAGTTTTAGCAAGGCAGTAATGAATTGTTAAGTATTGCAAACAGTATACAAACAGCCACCAATTTTTATAGGCAGTAATCAAACATTCAACCACAGTAGTGCATAACTGTAATAATAATAGTAATAATAATATTTAGATACAGTATTATTTAATAATTAATGACAAGTTGAATAGAGAAACGGCCCTATGCATAAAAGAACACATGAGAGGTGCAGCATAAGGGCTCGCTATCCTACAAATGTATCATCAGAATTCCTCAACCATAAAAGATTAGTACACTGAGAAACAATGGGCAATATTTGATTATAATATAATAAAAAAGAAGCTGAATGCAAGTCATTAGATTAAAAACTAACATCACGGGCCAATTAATTACTTTCTGTTACCAAGTCATTAGATTTACCACCCACAAAATAGCCGATTCAGCAGTCATTGATCACTATGAGAGGGTTCTGCATCTGATGAATGTGGACCTACCCCAGGAGGAGATTCATTCCTGCTAGGCCTCGGATCATCTTTACCAGGAGCTTCACCAAGTCTTTCCTGCATATAGTCAATTGTTAATACTAGAGTTATCTGACATTGAGGGTTACAATAAAAAGGGGCAGCCTGGTGCACATTGGCGTCCCTCCAAGGTGCAGCGTCCAGGAAGGATTCCACCACAAGAGCATATACGGAGCAAAAAATATAAGGAGGAAATCTTTCTATATCATTTCGACCGAAAAAGCCATTCTAAAAACAGACCGGTGCGCCAAAGCCCCTTCTCTTTGAGGGATACAGTGAAAGACGAAAAACATTAAAGAAGTTGCTTTGAAATTCAAACAAAATAGAAGTTTTAAAAAATCCATCCAGTAATTTTTTTAATAGCCAGACTGTACGAGTGCCAAACCCCATTGATTTTAAAGGCGAGGATCAAAACTTGGAAAATAATAGTCAAATAACCAAAAGTGGTTTTTTCTCTTATTCTTTAAACACACAGAATTCCTATAATTTAATTTCTCTGAGAATAACATCCCACACTGAAACCACTGAACATGCTCGCATTGTTGATGTATATGATAGCAGGAATTAAGAAAGGTAAGTAGTGCTGAGATTACCTTGAGAGCTGCATTCTGAGCGATAAGCTGCTCACACTCGCTCTTCACGCGGCTTATTTCTGCTCTAAGAGATGCATTTTCTACCTTTAGAGCTTCAGCCCGATGTGCCAGTTCATCACATTCTGCCTAACTCCCAGATCAAGGAAAAAGTGTCAGGGATTAATCAAGACTGGCGATGTAAATGCTAAAGGGGATTGATTTTACCTGCTTGCGCTGCCTGGAACGGCGAGCAGATTCCCGATTGGACTGCTTTCTTCTCTGCCTCTTAAGCTCCTTTTCATTCTGAACATCAAGAATAACATGGATATGTTATTCATCTGGTTGTTGGTTATGTCATCTAAAACAAATAATAATCTCAGAGGTCAAAATGTCTATTTTTTTTACTTGGGCATGCATGCTCTTTCTGAACTCATGTAGCCATTATATACTGCACATGTATAGTTTTCTATCTACACTGCCTATGTCTTAGAAAAGTCACATTTCACCAATGTATAGTGATTTATTCAATGGTAAGATACAACTACTAGAAGTCAAGAATCCTACTCTCTTGATTTTTTTGTTGGTTCAACTCAAAAAATCACATGCAACTTGAACTTGTGTCAGTGTGCCTTTATTGGAAACTTGCACAGAAAATTAGCGTTGTCTGCTCAAACAAGACTTGTTTTTTGAACAACGAAAGTTCTTGACACATAACTCTTCTTTTTGGGATGCAGCCGAGTCATAAACAAGTTAACAAAAGCAATACATTCATGAAGAAAGGTATCAGCACTTGGAGAAACCTGAATCCAATGTTGTGGTTGAACACCATCTCGTGATCCGGTAGCAACTGGGCCAGAAGGCACTTTTCCTTGCATCACATGAATAGCAGCAGATGAAGGAGCAGCAGAGCCCCAATAATCCATTCCAATATTCAGATTTGTAGTAGGGCCAGCAACACCACCTAATGCAGTCACAGCTCCTGCTGATAGTGGCACTATTTCCATACCATGGCCATTGCTCTCTCCATTCTGAGTTGCTTCGCCTGAAGTAAAGAAGACATCATATTAGTTTTCCATTGAAACAAATATGTTGCAAATAAGTCATTGCACTTTCATTCAGGCTGAATCTTACGTACCTCCGGATTTTGACTGTGATCCCTGCAGAAATGAGAAGGACAAGATAAAAAAATAAAACTCAGTCTTGTGCATAAAAAGGATAACAGAGTGCAAATGAAATTTTCTATTAACAATATAAGTACACCATCAAGATTGTCTTGATAATTTGATAAGGTAAACTATGAAATACCTACATTTTGAGAATTGGAATCACTCCCTCCAGTTGAACCTTCACTTCCACTCTCGCCACTGACATTGTAGGTGTTAAACATTAAAGAGTATGAAGCAAACAGAAGTGTTGAGTCCAAAATCAATTTATATTCATTACCCATAAATAGGCATTGGGTCCAAAAGCAGCATATTCATTACCTATATGTAAAGGTGATCTATCAATCTATCATTCTATCATGCTAATATCCTAAGCTGATTAATTTTATACACGCGGACAAGTCAAAGTGACCCACGAAGAAAGGGAGTGAGGAACCTTAAGATTGAAAAAGGAATCAAACAACATATAGAAACGTGTACTAACATGCAAATACACACAAAACACAATGTTGACACCAACACTTTCATAAACCTTTGTTTGGTCAACAAGAAGCAGGAGGTAGACAAGTGAGATGCAAGTGTAGAATTTATCTTGTTTGGTTAGCAGAGAAATGTAGAGAGAAGTTGAGATGATGGATCCTACCTTCATTTTATTTCTTCTACCCATTTATCCGACCAAAAACAACAAAAAATGAACCTACATTTCTTTTATCCATCGATTTCTCACTTGTTTCTCTCTTTTCTATTTCTTCCCTAAATCAGACAAAGGCTAACAGAATAGATTGATGGTGCCATTGTTTGTAATTGCGCAATGCAATTGCGCCTCATGGCGCGCCTCAGCTAATTCCTGGACTATGGCGTAAAAGGCATTGCATATGGCGTTGGGAGTGTGATGTACGCAATATTGCACTGAGGCGTACGCAATATTGGATACGCAATAAGGCGCTCTGAGGCGTACGCAATAGGAGGTCAGGGTGTAAGGGTATTATTTAGGCCCACTTTTAAATTTTTATAATTGATCTTATGATCCCTATTTCAAACCAGTAGTTATTGATTGAATTTTTCAGTCAATCAATCTAATTAATTTAAATTTTCATATCTTAGATTTTTGTTTTGATAAATGATTCAGAATGTTTTGGTAATCTATGGTACTTTGAAGTTTGAACATGTTACTTTGCTTGGTCTCTCATGGTTTGTTTTAATATAACATTTGATGACTTTAGATGAATATGTTTATTTTTTATTATGTTTATATATATATATAGAGAGAGAGAGAGTCCCGATCCTGTCAGGCCGGCCTGACGGGAACCGACGTCAGGCCGAGGCCATTTGGGGCCCTTCCCGGTGGAATTTTTTGATGAAATTTTTTGAGCATGTTCCTCATCAAGTCTAGTTTATCCATACCAAATTTCAGCTAAAAATTCAATCGGGAAGGCAGTCAAAAAAATCCCTACGAAAACTGCGCTGTTTATATATATAGAATGCACAGTTTTCGTAGAGTTTTTTTTTACTGCCTTCCCGATTGAATTTTAAGCTGAAATTTGGTATGGATAAACTAGACTTGATGAGGAACATTCTCAAAAAAATTCATCAAAAAATTCCACCGGGAAGGGACCCA